ATGAAGGACTGCAGAAGCGCAGAACTCAGTGTTACCCTCTCCAGCAGTCACAAGCTGTGGATTTAATACTCGGGGGAAACAAAGGGAGGTTGAGCATAACTCCAAGAGAAGGAACAGAAATGAAGACGTGCATGTGCTACAATTTTGACAGTATTACTGTGATTATTACTGTGATTTTTTTTTCCCCCTCTGTTTAGAAGTACTCTAACTGCACTATTCTAAAATATTTAGATCTAGACTAACCACGATTCTTAGACTGTTAAGGTGTCTCTCTCTCTCTCCCCCCCTCCCGCCCCCCCCCCCCACCTAAAACAATGATTTTGAGCGTAACATCCTCCAAAGAGGAAAACTACCTACCCCTTTCTAGGAAGCAGGGATCAGAGAGCCTCCAAATCTTGACCAGCAATCAGGCGAAAGCTTCAGTAAAAATGACCACTTCAGTCATGATATCAGAAGATGGAAAGAGTCTCTATCTTGGACACATAGGCTGTCATACAGATTTGTAATAAAGATCTGCAATTCACCAACACAAAGTGACAGTCTAAAGTAAGGCTCCTGAACTAGTTAGTTTCCTTACTGAAATGGCCCGATTTTCAGAAACATTACATGAATGGAAGCCGCTAGGCTTCAAAACCAAAGTATACAGAAACCTGATCAAACTGAATATACCGGTGCAAAAACTCAAAAGGATGTCCGAGAGAAAAAAACAAAACAATAAACAAACACTAACGAAGGGTGTATCAACAAAAAACCCTGTAGGTCTATTTGCCTGCAAGGAACATTTCTCAGTTTGTGGAGATCATCCATATGTACTAAAGATATTTGAAGTAGGGCAGTGAGGTAAACAGCAGAGCAGTAGGATGGTTCAGTATTGTCCTAAATCAGGAAACCCTAACGAATTATTTTTTAGTCAGGAGGAAGACGCTAGCAAAATGGCAAGGAAATGCTCATAAAAAGAAAAAGCGTTTAGCATGTGTTGATACACTTTTGCCCTCTGTTCCCTCTCCTTCAAGCCTATAATCATCATGGCTCCTTGTGAATGCATGAAGGAAGAGGGAGAGAAAACAATTTAGTGCTTTCTGCAGTGCTTTTGCATCTCTCCAGCACTGAAGTATTTTGCAAAACATCCTGACAAGGTGTTACATAGATTCCTAGTTCACAGCAGCAGAGGATGGAGCTTTAACAGGAAGGTGTAAGTTCCCTTAGCTCCCCTGACAAATCTCTGAAAAGCATCACAGAATATGAAGGATGACAATCAGAAGACTCTAGAAAGAAAGTGTTACCATCATGTTAAAAAGCATTGATAAATCAGTGTTAGATTCTTGGTTCCATACTGACCATAAACCATGGTGCAAGCCTGTGGCTGAATAAGCCAGCTTTACTTAAACAGAGTAATTCAGTAAGTTGACATGTACACGGTGAAGCTACAGAAGCCAGAGACAGGCACTTACCAAGCCAGCCTTCCAGATTTTTACTGAAAGGCTATCAAGACACACAACTTTAAAGCTTTACTGTTCCACTAACACTCCAATGACCTTCTCAAAACAAGTTTATGGAAAGGACTTCATACATGATTCAAGTGTTGTCAAAATAATTAGCAGCTCATTAAGGTGGAGTTCTGTATACACCTCTAAGAACAAAGCACACAACTCCTTTATCTTTTATAATTGATTAGTAAATCACACAAAGGTAGAAGCTTTCAGTTTTACTCAATTACATGAATGATAGAAAGAGACATTCTTGAGGAGATACGGATTAATATTTAATGAGTTAGAACAGCTTTAATCAGGACATAGCACATTTGATTACATTCCCTATTTGTTTTCATACTGACAGGTAAAGATGCATTTAAAAAAGTAGGTTAGAGAAAAAGTGACAGGATTTAATAAAAGGAAAGAAAATAGACTAAGTTGCCAGTACCGAAACAAGCAAGAGACAATGCTCAGCTGAACAGAGCTGTTCAAGTTCATTTCAATGAACACTGTTTCCCAAGTTTTTGGGAGGCAGCTGTTCAGTCTTTCCTGAACAACATGGGATTAAAACTCCAGGTCTTCTGAAAAGACTGCAGTGGTCTTGAGACCCCCTCCAGACCAAAGAAGATATAAGCCCCTGGAAGTTCCGATTCATCACATCCTTCCCTACAGTGACCACAATTACAGTACTGCTAGTCAGCTTAGCCTACCCACCTTGTATTTTTCCTCTAACTGCTAATAAAATAAGGCTGCATCAAAGGGGAGTTTTAATAGGAAGTGTGACTCACTAGTTGCTCACCAGCCTTGCTCTATTCTTATCTCAAAGTTTTCCTTATTTATTTTGATCTAGATAGTTGCTCTGTTGAGGGTGAAAACAATCTCAGTATTTAGAAACAAAAACCATGAAACTGTTCTTGCGTATATAGCTCAAATATAGCTTCTGGGATCTCCAGAAGAAACTAACTCTCCACATGAGTACTTCAAAAATAGTGCTGGGCCCAAAATAGCTTTCCCATATCATGAGTAACATCTCATCTTCTAACCTTTGCAAAAATTCACAATGTAGCAAGAAGGTGTATTACTCTATTTCTGAAATTCAAGAATAGCCTTTCTTAAGAAGTTACTGACCTAACTATGAACAAACTGGTATCTAAATTTCCAAATAACTGAAAATACTTTGCACAGAAACACAGAAATTCAAGCAAGCAGAAACCACCAAAAAAATCCATTTTATTGCAACAATGTCCCCATCATCAACTGAGATGGCAAAAATTAAGTTTTAATTCATTTTGCGTTTCTACCTTTTTATTTATGTAAATATAAATTCAAGAGTGTAAAATAAATCCACATATAAAACACAGAAGAAACATTCTCTTTCAGTGACTCCAAAAAAACCTTACATACTGAAGAATCATGACAAGTGATCCGCTGTCCATTTTTCCAAGTATACAGGCGTGAAAGAATGCAGAAATTTATTCTCCAAAAGCATCCTGTATAAAGTCCTTAAAGTATTTAAGTAATATTTAGTAATCTCATACTCTTGAGCTTATGGATGTAGATTCCAAGAAAAGGAGACACAAAAAACATCTCAAACTTCAGAATATTTAAACTCCACCTAAAATAATCCATTTAAAACAAGATTATGTTCAATTCTTATAGCTGAAGCATCACAATTACTTTATTAGTATCATTATTTTGGAAACCTATTTCTTGTTAGTTTTTCCTGCTTTTAAAATAAAGTCAGAATACTTATTTCAAATAGTTTTGTTTACTTATACTGTAAATATACTGCGGAAAGTAACTCCACATGCTGGTACAACAGGCCTTCATGAAGTTCCACTTAAACTTTAGTATGATGTATCTTAAAAATCAGGGACTAAAGCATTAAATGCACCATAAAGAGTCGGTGTCATGGGATTATGTATTATCTTCCTTACACATTTTGAAGTCAGTATTGGACTGTTAGACCACATGAATATTGGCTGGTTATAAATACTTGGACTAGGAACATTTACTGTTTTAGAAAGATGTGATTATTTTGTCTTATTGTTATTACACAAAAAAAAAAATGTTACCAATATTATAAAATGTATCGTGCAGGATATTTCAAGAGGAATGTTTTTCACTGGGTCCAACAGGCAGATGTTTCCAATGATTGTGGCTTTTAATGCGTATCATGCCAAGTTCTTAATAAAGTGTTTTCCCTCGTGGTTATGTTACAACAGAGAATGAAGAAATTAAGATGGTAAAAGCAAACAAAGTTAAAAATGTGAACTGCAAGTAACTTCACAACCAGAAGAGAAAAAATCACAGAAGGATTTAAATCAGCACTATTGCGGGTCCCCACAGTTGCACTGCTACTCTTAGTTTCCAGAAGATGCATATGATTTTATAAATATTTTTGTGCTAAGAGCCATGCTCAGAAACAAAATATAGGCTAGCACAAGTCTACCTTCTTGGAGATGCATGTTAAGTATATAATTCACTTACTAAAGTGCATTTGCTGAACAAATTCTAACTTCTACTATTATAGCTACCCCAATAAGCAATACAAACTAAACTTTGTTGAAATTCTACCTCTATTTAAAAGCAGTAAATATAGATGACTGATATTTAAATTACAATCTTGTATTACCAAACATTTTGACTCAATGCCGTATTACCAAACATTTTGACTCAATGCTGTGAGCTGTAGAAATAAGCAAAATGGACTGTCCTAAACTTCCCACAAATGAGGAAGTGCCTCTCGTTAGAAATACTGAAAGTGTAGAACGGAGTTAAATATAAGTAGAGCTGAAGTAAGCATTGCTTTGCTTCTTATTCAATATGATGTTTCTTTAAGGCTCTGAGAGAAGCTGTTACTTTTCTCAAGATCTTTTGGCAAAAGATATAAATGCAGAAGTAGCAGGGTCACCTGACATTTCAGAACTTGTATTTTCAGATTTCATTAAAGCCAGCTCATTCAGTGTCTGTATACATTTATTGCACTTGTGTTGTTGGAATACATCTATACCAACATAGGAATAATGATTGCAACAAAGCCATAGTAAAATAAACTTTAAAAGGGTCTGATTCTGACATTAGAGGATACGTGTCTGCATGTTTAAAATGTTCCCCTAATAATAATAAATACAGACAAATTGCTCATCAAGTCAGATGCACATGTTGAACAATTATTTAGCATATATAAAATTTCACTCATCCTTTTATCAATACAAATCTGTTAGGGATCAAAAAAGACTTACCATGCAAAATATTGATTAGTGCTGCATAATGGAATATATATTTCTATCAGAGTTAAAACAGCATTTTCAAAATTTAAAGAAAAATAGATTTTTAAAAAGGGATTCTACTGTTGAATGCAAGTCTTCCTTGTAGCAAAGACAAGATAGAAACAAGTTACGATTTATCGCTGTACTTCAGTCTTGATGAAAGACTAATAATAATTTGTCCACCTACTTCTTAATAAATGCTACATTTTCAAGAATAAAGGAACTATCAGTAGGCATTATTTCTACTTAAAACAAGTTACTTCTCTCTGTAATAGGTCAAGTATGCTTTTAAAGATTCAGGTAATGGTAGACTCATTATTTTCTCTCTCAACAGATTTCGAGGAGGCTCTTCTGGCTTCAAGGCCTCATTGTGATCTTTATCCTCCTCCTCTTTGTTATCATCTTCCATTCTTTCATCTTCTTCACTATCTAGAGGCTGAGGAATGAGCTGATTACCAACAAACACATAGGTGTTAATCCTGCGTCTACGACATCTCCTGCGTTTTCGTTTTGGAGGAGCCTTCTGAGCAATACCCTTGGCTTTCATCTCCTCATTTATGAAGTTTCTAAGGGTGCGTCTGATATATATTCGAGCTAGGTCCTGGAGATTCCTAACAGCACATGGAGCTAAAATGAAAGAAAAGTAAGTTATACTAAGTGAAATTTCCCTCTAGCAAAAAAATTAGCTGCAAGGCAGTAAGACTAATGTTCAAGAACAATTGAAATTTTAGTACATGATACAACATGCAAATGAAACAAGGGTAGATAGAGCCACCTTGACAAACCCTGTGGCACAGTCCAAGAAATTAAGAGGTCTTTTGACAGATGTGCTAGAGAAGTAGAAAGTATGAACAGATTATTAACATAAATTTTAGAACGCATACAACAAATATTGTCACCTTTTAGTACCTGGCAAGTCTTGGGACCTACTGCTGGCACTGTTTCAAGATCCTGCTGCTAGGAAACAATTTCTACCCTTACGTCACATTTGTTTAGGCAACTGCCTTTCTTCTGCCTCCCTCTTCTACTCACTATGCTTTTCCCTACTTCCTACTGAACCCAACTGATGAGGGAGGACCATGTCAACTTCACAGCTGGCCAACAAAGTCACCAATATCTTTAGTGTAAGATAGAAAAGGAGTCAAAGTTACTGAAGTTCTGAAGAAAAAAAAGCAAGTAAAAGAAAGCCAAAAGCCACGTATTTTCCAGTCACAGGCAGGGAGGTGATGACTAAGTATTACTGGGCTGGTGGATGCCTGCCCTAGATGAGCTACAGCTGGCTAATTCCAAAGAAAACAAAACCAAAAAAGCACACCAACCAAAACTGCAGCCTGTTCAACTTTCTTGCTTGTCATTTTTCTTCCTATACAAAGTAGCATAAAATTAATGGGGACTACAGCAAGGAATAAGCTAGTGAAGAAACAATTTTGATAATTATACTTTTTTAAGCATTCAGCTTAAAAAACACTCAATGTATTTCAAACAAAATCTATTGTTTCATACACTGACTTCAGTTGCATGCTAGTTACTCATATGTGAGACAGAAAGGATGTTTATGACTGGCAATACTGATTTCAGCTAATGCCAGCAGAAATTAAAAAAAAAAAAAAAAACAAAAAACAAAAAAACAACCAACCCCTATTTATTTAATACAAAACTAACTCAAAATTCAAGAACAAAACCCTATCTAACCATCCAAAACACATCTGTAAGATCAGGCTAAACAAGCCATGACTGCAGATTGTATGAACAGGAAAAAAAAGCCATGACTGCAGATTGTATGCCAATCATAGTAAATGTAAGCACAAGGTATATAAAGCTAAAGTAATGGACTAGCAGGCATTCGTCCCTGTCATGATTTAACCCAGCAGGCAGCCAAACACC